TTTGCCGACGATATAGTCCTTATGGCAGAATCATTGGAGGACCTAAATACTATGCTCAATGACCTCAATAGTGTTTCCTACCGCATAGGTCTGAAGATGAACATGGACAAAACAAAGATCATGTTTAATGTCCATGTCACACCTATGCCGGTAGTTGTTAGGAGCACTAAGCTCGAAGTTGTTGACGAGTATGTTTACCTGGGACAAATAGTCCGATTAGTTAAGTCCAACTTCGACCGAGAGGTTAACCGACGGTTTCAACTCGGCTGGGCAGTGTTCGGAAACTTACGGCACATCTTCTCGTCAGGTATACGTCAAAACTTGAAAACGAGACTGTACAACCATTGCGTGTTGCCAGTGATGACCCCCCTACATGGAGTGACGACCTGGTAAGACATAGAGGAAGTCGATGGTTACAGGTGGCTGAAGACCGTTAACAAAATGGACGCATCATTCTCTAATACAATTACGAACAGAACAAATAATTCAAATCATAAATAAAACTCTATCTGAATGCGCTACTTACATATGAAATGTGATCACATTGTTTTTCTTTTGGGTCCAAAAGAAAAACAATGTGATCACATAACAGCATTTTTACAGGTGGGAATGGCACAAGTAGGCATATTCTAAATTAATTTGACACTTGCAAAAGACGTCACGCCATACGATGTGTACAGAGTGATCATTCGCCTGAACGTGAAATACATAGTACACTATTTAAGTGTAGTTTTTGTCGCTTCAGTTTTAAGCGCGTTAAGTATTTCAAATAACTAAAACATCTAGAAAAGATAAATAATTATTTGCCTTTAACTTCTTTGTGAACTGAAAATAAACCACCTTAAACTTAACCTTAACCCCACAAACTCAAAAATTCCTACTATCAATATAGGTATAAAACAAGTGAATTTAAAAAAATAAAACAGTTTTTTTATCACACTCAAAATTTCAAGTTCCCCAGCTATCGGTAAGTTAGTTTAAAATCAATTACTAAATTCCACCCGGAATAGGGTTACCAGACATCAGGGTTATTCAGGATTTTGGTGAGTTAATGAAATATGTACTAAATAAGTTAGTATTGTGTTATCCGTAGGAATAATAAAAGTTAATCAAATCAACGCAATTAACATAAAAATAATTGTAATTCTTTTAATCTACCTACATAAAATGAACTTAAATTGCACTGTGCAACTATGTACAAAATTGAATCGAATAGTGTGTAAGTTTAACATAATATTCGATTCAATCCCTATAATTACTTTTACATATAACTTAGACATTTTATAATTATAAACAGCATTTGAACCAGTTTCCTACCGACTTCAAAAAGGGAAAGGTACTCAATTCGAATGTATGTATTTTATGTGTGTTATCTCATAACTATTTACTGGTTGAACCGATTGCGATGATTCTTTTTTAATTTGAAAGCCGGCGCTTCACATGTGGTCTCATAAAAATTTGATTGAGGTCTGAACAATCGTCTTTGAGTTATTCTTAATAATTTATATTGAAGTCTGTTGTACAAAATTTATTTACATAGATTATTTTTTATTTATTATTTTAATTCAAGAGTATTTGCACCAATTTCCAAGATAAAAAACCAAAAATATGTTATTTCCATTCAAACTTGATATTTTTTTTTATAGGATAGGGTGACAAACGAGCCCACAGTCCACCTGATGGTAAATGGTTGCTGTGGCCCATAGAGATCTACATCTATCCTCGTTTGCGAATCAAAATGCAGATGCGTTGTCACCCGTGAGGACTAAGATGGTATGCCTCTTTTCCAGTAAAAAGGTCTCCGGTTCTCTACACTCACCATACGAAACAGCAGTGTTAAGCTGCTATTTTACGCTGGTATTCTGTGAAAGCGTGGTGCCTCCCCGGTCGAGCCGACCCATTCGTGCTACAACTCTACTACTAATATAGCTGCAGCATGGCTCTAACACGTATAGATATAGGATGTTCAACACAATATTACAGAGGGAATTGACATAATATGGAATAAACTTTAAATGTCGTTTCTTTGTTTACAGGTAGGAGTTTTGGTTATTATTGTAATAGTGTAGTTTGGTAATGGAACTTAGAATTCATCATCATTTTCATCATTACAGTCTTTCACAATTCGACTGCTTGAAATAAAGACCTTCCCCAAGGAATGTCACAAAGCACGGTCCTGAGCAACCTACATCCATCAACTTCCTGCATGTCTTACCAGGTGGTCACTCCATGTAGTGGGGGGTAGCCCTACACTTCGCCAACCGGTACGAGACTGTCACTCGAGAATCTTTTTTCCCCGATATGTTGTCGGTCTTACGAGCTATTGCCACTTCAGCTTACTAATCCGTTGGACTATGTCGGTCACTCTGGTTCTACTACGGATATCCTCATTTCTAAGTTTATCACGCAGAGAAACTCCGAGCATAGCCCTCTCTATAGCTCGTTGAGCGACCTTGAGCTTCCTCATCCGGCCACCAGTGAAGGACCACGTCTCAGCTTCATAGGTCATCACTGGCAACACGCACTGGTTGTACAGTCTCGTTTTTAGGTTTTAAGGTATATCTAACGAGAAGATGTGCCGTAATTTCCCGAACGCTGAACGCATGAACGCGAACGAACGTCAACAACTTCGAGCTTAGTGCTCCTCACAACTCACACGGCATAGGTGTGATATGGACGTTATACATGATCTTTGTTTTGTCCATGTTCATCCTAAGACCTAGCCGTTGGGAGGCACTATTGAGGTTATTGACCATAGTGCTTAGGTTCTCCAGCGATTCTGCCATAAGGACTACATCGTCGGCAAATCGAAGGTGAGTGATGTCTTAGAATTAATAACTTTAAATAAAAAAATTATAAAGCTTGGCGTGCTCAGCAGAGCGGGACAGTATTTCATGCCGGCACAACGCCTGTAACTTTACAAGGCGCAGGTTCGGCCTCACATGGAATACTGTTCCCATCTCTGGGCTGGGGCTACCCAGTGCCAGTTCCTTCCACTTGACCGCATCCAGCGTAGAGCGGCTCGAATCGTCGATGACCGAGTCCTTTCCGATCGGCTCGACTCATTGGCACGGCGAAGAGATATTGCGTCTCTTTGCATTTTCTTTCACATTTACCACGGGGAGTGCTCTGAGGAATTGTTCGGATTAATCCCAGCCGCCAATTTTCACGAACGCACATCGCGGCAGAACTCCCGATACCTTCCATACCATCTGGATGATTGGCGGTCCACCATTGTGCGATTTAGAAGATGTTTTCTTCCTCGCACAACTTCCTGGTGTTGCAGTTGTTCGTGGGCGGCGGTAGTCACTTACCATCAGGTGAGCCGCATGCGCGTGTGCCCCTCTCCTATAAAAAAAATAAATGAAATATAAATATTTGTTTACAGAGCAACACAACATAGTTTATTTTAGTCAATCCTAAAAACAAGGTATCTAATATCTTATAAAACGACATTTAAAGTTTATTCCTTATTATGTCAATATTATAATTATGGAAATTTTTGATCAAGATTTACTAATCAACATTTATACAGATGCTTCTTTGGAAGGTGTAGGAGCCATTTTAAAACAGACACAACCCAATGGAATAGAAAAATCAGTGGCATAATTTTCAAAACAATTAAATGAAGTACAAAAGAAGAAAAAAGCAATATACTTATAAGCATGTAAGTAGGTAATTCTGATCACTGATAAGCGTTTTCAGGATTCTTAGAAATTTCTACAGGATGGGGAATAAAGAGGAGATATCTTTTCGCTTTAAAGTTGACTTTTTGCTTATCTATAAATACTAGAGACTTTAAATTTGGCATGTAAGTAGGTAATTATAATCACTGATTAATAACGTTTCTCAAGATTTTTCGAAATCCCTACAGAATAGGGAAGAAAAATAATTTATATTTTTGCTTTAGAGTTGCCTTATTTCCCTAACACTAAATATTAGAAACTTCGTAGGTTTTTCAATGACGCGGACAATACGTATAATATAATAAATATATGGGTATACGGTAGACTGTGTCCAATAACAGAATACATGGTACGGTACTCCTATCCTAAAAGAGTATAGCTCCTTAGAGAGCATCTATAAAAAAAAAATGGCATAATTTTGTAATTCCACGCGAGCGAGCCCGTGGGTGTTCGCTACTTAGCCATAAAAAGACAAACCGAAGGCGAGAATGCATAGTTAGCGGCGCGTGGACAATCACAACACAAACAGACATGGAAACTATTTGTGCTTTTGCATAATTATTGACCCAGTTGAAATTCAAATCCTGGAACTACGACATCATCAGGTACTTAAACCATTAGGCCATGTGTTTGTTATCGCTTGTTAATGAATAATTTAAAGGAATCACACTTATGAATATATTGATTATTTTATATTACTACGGGCGAAATTATCCATAGAGGCGGCATTCTCTTCCGCCTTAGGGTTTTTATGGCACTTTTACGGCACCTTTTTAGGAGATAATAGACCGACGCTGCGAAGAGTGAGATTGGATGTTGTTTAGAGTGTTCACTCTTTGCTATTCCTGTATTTGTTGAAGCTGCTTCGTTTGCATTTGAAGCGATGAAGACTTCATCTTCATTGTGGTTCTTTCGGTTAGGTATTTTGGCAACAACAATATTGTGTTGGGTTAATTGATAGTCAACTAATGAATAGAAGGTATTAGACCTCTATGCTGGCTGGCAAGGTCGCATATTATCTTTTTAGGGAATTTAAGTAAAATATGAAATAATAAATATGAATAAAATATGTTTATGTAAGAAAGTCTAAAGTATGCTGTCAGAAAAAAGGGAAAACATAGAGTTCACAAGCGGTGCGGGGAGTGCAGCGTAAGGTGAATTTTACACGCCCGTGGGACCATCTTCTTGTTTACATTATTTTGATGACATTACAATACATAGGATTCCTAAAGTTAATATGTTACAATATTTTCAGTTGTACACCACTTTACAAAGTAAAGCGCACTGACAACAAACACACACCACCTTGCTGCAATGATACGTGTTCAGACGTTGCGCCAGGTAAAAACTCTGTTTTGTTTCTCTTACGCTCGATTTCATAGTAGATGGGTGAACAGTCTCGGGAGACTGTTCACCCATCTACTATGAATATTTTATTATGAATATTTTATTATTAATATTTTATTCAGGATTTACTTAGATATTGAATGTTGAATAAAAATTTCTTGTCTTCAATGAAGAAATTTTGAATGTTGTAGACCCACACTGCAGCTGTATTATGATCACGATTGCATGAATGGGTTGGCTCGACCGGGATAGGAACACGCTCTTAATGAATTGAGGTATTCATGCATGTTGCTGTGTTTCATATTGAGTGAGTGAGGAGAACCGGAGATCCTTTTTACTGGATACGAGGCATTCCATCTTATTTCTTTAAAATCGAGGATAGATAAAGACGTCTATGGGCCACAGCATCCACTTACCATCACGTATGCTATGTGCTCGCTTGTTGATCATTAGGTTAAGCGCCGGTTATTGATATTTTCATTTTAACCAACTTCAAAAAAAGGAGAAGGTACTCAATTCGACTGTATTTTTTTATGTGTGTTACCTCAGAACTATTTTCAAGGTGAACCAATATTGATGATTCTTGACGCTGGTGCTTCGCAATAAAATAAAATAATTGACTGATGTTTTATGATTGTGCAAAGTTTCTTGAAACAAATAAACACTCACGCCTGTCACCCAGAGGGGTAGGCAGAGACTATGGACTTCCATTTAGCGCGATCCTGATACACCTCTTCGCCTCCTTTACATCTATATATCTACACATTCACGGTCGTCAGTTAAGGGTGCTCCTAATCTGGCCCATTTTCAATGTATCGCCGATTTGGTAGATAAATCTTCGTCTAAGGCGTCCCTTCCCGATTCTGCCGTTCACTTCTGAAACATAAATTTGCTTTGTCACTCTTTCCCCGTTCATTCTTTCTACATGACAAAACCACTGAAGCATTCTTTTTTTAATCCTGGTCACAACGTCATCTTGCAAACCACACTTTTCTCTTATCACACTATTTCTCACCCTGTCATTCAGATTCAGCCCTAGCATACTCCTTAATGACCGCATTTCTACAGCATTTATTCTACTCTCATGCTTCTTCTGCCTGACCGAACTTTCACTACAATACATCAAATTAGGGACTAGCACAGCATTATGAATTGCCATACGTGCCTTCTTTGACACATTCTGACTCTTCAGAATAGCGTGTAGAGCCCCATTCACTCTATTTCCTGCCTTCACTCATCGTTATATATCCTTATCATATCTACCATCCCTGCTAAATAAACATCCCAAATATACAAACTCATCCACTTGCTCAATCAACTACCCTTCTATTCTTATTTCACATAACGTTTTACTTTCTTCTCTTTCAAAAACCATCACTTTCGTCTTAATTGCGTTCACTTTCATACCCCTTTCTTTTAATGACCAGTTCATTAAAGTAACCATCATTTGCAACTCGGCCGCCGACGATGCTACTAATAACTAATATGACTTGATCATCGGCGTACAAAAGGCATTTGACGGTTAACTCCATCATTGTTCCACATACATTCAGAGTAGCCAAACGGCCCTCCACAATCCACATTTCGCCCCTTCGGTAGACGGGACGTGACGGGTGGCGAACCTCGTCACCGGTTTACCTCCTTTCTCCTTCCAGTTTCTTGAAATGTTTAATAATTCAACTAAAAATAAACCATTAACAATTTGACATTACAGTTGACAATTATAATTGGACTGACGCTATGCAGCATTTCCGAAGGGTTTATTTTTGGTCAAATGTCCGGAATGGTGAACGCTCTACGAGGTGCAAATAGTGAAATAGCTCTCAGCGAAGACGATATTTCTTGGATAGGTAATATATTATATCACTGCTATTATAAGTTTTTGTTTACAATTTTTTTTATGTATAGTTAAATCACATTGCGGTGGAAAATTAAGCAGATGGGTCGCGGCGACATGGTAAAGATTGCCCTTTTACATAAAACATACCTCCAGTGATAGTGTAATGAGTAACCATTGACCTACGAGTACGTAACGCTATAGGCGTCGGCTTCGTCCCTTCACGAAACGCAGGACTTCTTCTTCCGACGTACTTTTGTCCAAACTGGAAATGTAGAGCCATAGTCAAAGGACTTCGCGAAGTACCCCGAAGTTACATGAAGCGTCCCACTACACTACTCGGCTCACGCCAATTATAAATATTTTTTTTTTATATATAAATAATAAATATGTAGCTTTCTAAATAATTATTTATTTACTTAACGCATTGACGTCGTACTGTTCACACAATTAGGTACCTATAGCAGCTGCCTTTTGAACGTCATTCATGTTAAGGGCGCGGGAGATTCAAGACGACTGAGCTCTTCGCGAAGTAGCACGAGTGTGTGGTCACGTTCTTCGGACTGTGATCGACTTCCGCGGGCAGTTCGTCGAAGTTACTGCGCGAGTGTAGAGGAAGCATAATGCGTTAACTAAATAAATAATTATGTAGAAAGCTACATATTTAATATTTATATATATATATATATATATATATATATATATATATATATATATATATATATATATAAAAAATTCATAACTGCCGTAAGCCGAGTACTGTAGTGAGACGCTTCGCGTAACTTCGGGGTACTTCGCGCAGTCCTTTGATTCTGGCGCAAAAAAACCGACAGCGATCGGAAGTCGCCCGAGGCGAAGCGAGGTTGGACGAAGTGAATCGAAGTACCTCTCTACACTATTCGCCTCGTCCAACTTCGATCTACTTCGCGAGTAGTGTACAGGAGGCATTAGATTGTGTTATTTCCGTGATCCGTGACTAATTTCCTATAAAGTACAAAAAGTTAACCATGCTCAATAATGTCCAGGTCACGTTTTTTTTTGCATCTTTATGACTCTCTCATTTCCTTACGTCACGATTATTGATATGCACACTTTTCTGCAGGTAATTAACTTACTTTGTCTTAATCTGATGCACTCGAGGTTTTTTAATGATTGTTTTTTTTTACTAATCTGATTGGCTGCCCTAGATGCTCGACCCTATATAAAAGGGTCCAGGTAGGAGTACTCAAACGGGTGCAAGGTTTTCTCTCTTGTGAAATTCTGCCGCGCTTGAGTTATTCCCAAAATCCCCGCTTGGACTCCCCTACGTAGGCAGCTACTAAAAAGGAATTTGGAAAATTCAACTCCTATGATGTGAAACAGTTTGTATGATACTTTCTATTTTATAAGGCGATTGACTCGAAACTTACTAAAGATACATAAAATAAATGAATAAAAAAAATCCAATTTAGCGAATTTTCAAAGATAAAAAAATTAAATTTTTATATTCTTCAAAATATCTAGACTGTAAATCTAAATCTAAATGACGAGTTTTGGTGGGAATTTGACCGGCGGCGGTTTGCTGCTCCTGTATTGTTGTTTAAATAATGGTTTGAAGTGGATTTTGATATGTAAAAGTGGTGCGATTTTGTGTGTTGTCTGCATAAAATTATGGAACCGCTCTTGAATAATACAAGTGGTAATAAAATATTTAGTTTGTATGCAAAACTATTGTGTTAAACGCACAGCACAAACCACGTAGTAGAAGCGTGAAATCGGGAGAATAGATTTCTGTAATCATGTACACGGACAGAGCGTTTGCCATGTCTACCCTTCCTCCGCAACAAAGCACATGTCTACTTTAATATTAAAAATTATGTTATTCCGTTATGACGTATAGTGGCGGTTAAGAATACTGACTACACCATATCTTCCCGTGAGTGTCGTAAGAGGTGACAGTGGGAAGCAGGCAGGAGATGAAGAGCAGCATCTTCCTGATAACAGCAAGATTATAATAAAAAAACCGCGGTTGTCAACCCGTGGCAACTATGGCAAATATCCCCCCATGAAATGAAAGTTACGAAGAAACGGCCCCCAGTCCCCGACGGCCGGCCTTGCTATTCCTGACTACGGTGGCGACCATGGTAACGGTTGGGCATGGGGTGCAAAGAATCTCCGGTGGAGGTTCAATTGCCACCTAAGACGACTCGACCTGGCAACATACAAGGACAAGGTAATATTCGAATCCGGCAACTTGTTCCATCCGGGAGGGCCACCATCTTTTCCAAGAAGGTGCCGGAACTATCGTCCAAAAGTCTCTTGTTAACAACGTTATAATGGTTGTGAGTGTGTCGACGAGGGTTGCGTACATTATAAACAGAATCACCAAATGGTATTCGTTGAAGGTCATACATCCTCGGCACATCCCGATGAGGCGGTGGAGGAAATATATGAGGGTATCTCTAAAGCCATACATTCTTCCAAAACCCACTATACAGTGTTAATGGTAGACTTCAATGCAAAACTAGGCCCAAGAAAGAACGGTGAGCTGATAGTAGCGAAATTCGGAATAGGGCAACGTAACCCAAGGGGCCAGTAGCTGGTTGACTTCAGGGAGAAAGAAGGACTCTTTATGATGAACTCTTTATTCCAGAAACGACCCCACAGGAAGATCTGGTCGAGCCCCGACGGTTCGACAAAAAATGAGATTGACTTCATTATGACAACATCGTCTCGAACTACATTTAAAAAATGTAGTTATTCCGCAAAAAGTGTGCGTTAGAATACTAAAGAACAAAAAATAAAAATATTTAATCACATTTGCAGAACTTTAACAAGCACACACCGGCGACACTCTATAGAGATATTACCAATTATATTATGCGAGCAATTAAAATTTGTTGCTTTATGTATGAAAATACGGAGAAAACAAATTTTCTCTAAAATAAGAACCTACCTAGATTGATTTTCCGCCGCCGCAATCCCTTATATTGTTAAGTAAAAACGTTGCGTTATTTTGATTTAAGACAATCAACAACCATGTATTTTATCAATTTTTCCTTTTTTTCCTAAAAAAAGTCCTCAAGTCTTTTGTATAAATTTTGCCTAGATTATGTCTGGAATCGCAGTCGTAAAGTTTCATTACAATCGGCTTAGCCATTCAGAAAATTAACTCGAATTGACAGACAAAAATAAAAAAAAGGTTATTTATATCTTAATATCGCCCCGTGTAGTGGCGGGTAAGAATACTCACTACCCCATATCTTCCCGTGGGTGTCGTAAAAGGCGACAGAGGGAAACTGAGGCAGAAGATGGGCAGCAGCATCTTTCTGATAACAGCAAAAATCAATAAAAAACAGCGGTTGCCAACTCGCTCGCCAAGCGTGGCAACTATGGCAATATACCCCCCATGAAACACTGTACAACCAGTACGTGTTGCCAGTGATGACCTATGGTACTGAGACGTGGTCCTTCACTGTTGGCCGGATGAGGAAGCTCAAGGTCGCTCAGCGAGCTATGGAGAGGGCTATGCTCGGAGCTTCTCTGCGTGATAAACTTAGAAATGAGGATATCCGCAGTAGAACCAGAGTGACTGACATAGCCCAATGGATTAGTAAGCTGAAGTGGCAATGGGCCGGCCATATAGCTCGAAGAACCGACAGCCGATGGGGAAAAAAGGTTCTCGAGTGGCGGCCTCGTACCGGCGGACAAAGTGTAGGGCGTCCCCCCACTAGATGGAGTGACGACCTGGTAAGGTATGCAGGAAGTCGATGGATACAGGTGGCTCAGGACCGTGCTTTGTGGCATTCCTTGGGGGAGGCCTATGTTCAGCAGTGGACTTGTGAAGGGCTGTAATGATGATGATGATATCTTAATAGCACGCAAATAACCCCCTGAGGTGAATAGAAGTATGTTGTTTTAATATTAGAGACAGACAATTTTATTTATAGGTAGGAATAGAGATTTCATCGAAATCTTTAGAATCATTAGAGCCGCGATTACTTATACTCTATTTAAACTGTGGTAGTATAGAGTATAATAGTATAGGACTTTGTTATTTAAGTATGTATCAAACAAAAATCATGGTGTACAAAATCCTGTAGACCAGGAGTTCCAAAAGTGTGAGTCGTAAAGAGAATAGAAGGGCACCGTGAGGCAATCCTGGAATTACCATTCGCCGGAAAATAAACTTAGCAAATATTCAAAGACCAATGTTAAGCAATAAATTGCAGTAGCGGTGTTAAGACTGATCTCAAGCTTTGAAAGAATTTGTGGAGATCACTAAGCTCACACGTCATATTGATTAAGTTGCCATTGTACCTATTTTGGTTCCTGTTTTATTTCCTATTTTTTATTAAAAATAAATGTATTCTTGTGTCAATATAAATATAAAAACTCAGCTTTATATTGTGGAAGTTTTCATTTTTGTATATACTTAGTATCATTGTACCCTATTTCATCTAGCTAGGGCACCGAGATAAAATACGCCGCGAATGTGTGCCGCGAACTGAAAAATGTTTGGGAACCCCTATTGTACACTATAGAGCTGGTTTTCTTTTTTCAGTTAATTATTTTTCGCAGTCAGTTTTTGTTTGTAATAATTCAGTTAACATAATAATAATCTGTTCGTTTTAATTTTTTTTTAGCCTCAACTATAAATGCAACATGTGTATTTGGCTTTGCCATAGCTGGACTAATCACGGAAAAAGTTGGACGACGACGAGCCATCTCGCTTTTAAACCTTCCAATGCTGGTGACATGGATAATGATATATTATGCGACGGATTTTACAACTTTTATTATCTCTAGGTTTATAGTTGGCGTCAGTTTTGGAGGTGTGCTTTTATTAACTTACGTCGCAATGGCCGAGTACACCGCACCCGGTCAGAGGGCTATTTGTGTAAATCTTGTATCAGCTGTGGGGCCATCAATTGGCACGACATTGGGACACGTACTAAGTATTTCACTGCACTGGAGAACGGTTGCAATGATAGGAATTATTCCTACAGGATTGTCAGTCTTATTGCCTTGCTTTTGGGTAGAAAGTCCATCGTGGTTGGCATCTAAGGGAAGATTCGATGAATGCGAAACCGCGTTCAGAAAACTGCACGGTCGTCATGAGGCATCTGAATCAGAATTAGCATTACTTTTAAATTTGGAGAAAGTAAAACAAGAAGATTTCTCACCAAACAAACAGTTTATGCTTTCGATAATTGAAAAAATAACGGCCGCATTAAAACAACGGTATTTTTTGAAGTTAATTATGTTGTCTGTGGTCATCAGCGTATATAGGGTGGCGGGAGGCAAAATATTATATTGTACTATGGCCATAACAATGTTGCAAGAAATGACTGGGAGCTCAAACATTTTGTTATTTACATTGCTCGTAGACGGATTCATCATTATTGGCTCAATTTTACCTTGTTTTCTTTTGAAAAAAATGAAAATGAGAACTCTTTTACTTTCTTTTGGATTGATATCTAATGTTGCCCTCATTATATTGAGCATTTGCCTTTATTTCATACCAAAAACTAATTCATATTTAGCGTGGATCTGTTCTTCAATTTTAGCTTTTTATTTCATTACTGTGTACTCAGGTCCTTATGCAGTATTAGAAATATTAATATCGGAAGTCTTTCCATTGGAACTTAAGCCTTACTGTATATTTTCAGGGGGAAGTTTTAATGGTTTTGCGCAATTTTTATGCATTAAATTAGCACCAAATATGTTCGCTTTGATGGGTTATCATGGTGTATTTTTGTTAAATTCTACTATTGTATTTTTATGTCTGGGATACCTTTGGGTTTTTATGCCAGAAACAAAGGGAAGAACTCTGCAAGAAATAGAATTATATTTCAAACAAAGCACTTCTACGGAAAATAAAAATTGTGCTCAATCTGAGACTTTACTTTCCAGAGGTCACGCAGTAAATAAGGAATTCAAGTTAAATGACACTCTAGACACGGCCTGAAATAGCGCACTTGTTTTTTAAAAGTACTATTTATTTAAAAAAGTCATTTGAAATTATCTTCTTCTAAATTTGTTTTTTTTAATCATTTTGGAATAATCAATTTTTCATATTTCTCCGCCCCTCAAATTCCGTCGATCTAGTCCCAAAATTCGTAGGCCTAAACTTAAATCCGTACGCAATATTGCATTAATAACTAGCAATACGCCCCAGCTTCGCACGGATGATTTCTGGATTTCGACACTAGCGCCACCTACTGTGAATCTAAATTATCCAGGAATTTTACATTATTTGCATGCTATCCTTTGTGAGGTTTTTTTTATAAATTATTATAAACTTAAAGATAAAAACTTTATTAAAATCGGTTCAGCCGTTTAAGAGTTCAATGACAAACAATAGTACATAAGAATTATATTATATTAATAACGTTATTTTTTTATCGTCGTTAAGAAAATTTTAACGTTTATAACATCTTTTTAAGTTTATATGTATTATGTAATCGTGGTTGGTAATCGTTGGTAATACGATCACAAGCAATTTATATTACTGATAATATGCAAGTACAACTAAATTATTACCTTGACTTTTTAAAAGTTGCTATAATGGAAATGAATTATTTAAAAGTATAAATTGCAATAATTTCGTGGGCAATAGAGTAAGATTATGTTTTGTTTTTAAAAAGTTTATTTCGTCCCACAGATACCTGTCGCATCCAAAAAATCAGCGTAATGATTAACTGATCGCTTTCATGAAATAGTCTGTAGTTTTAAATTAATAAAAAAAGTTTTATTAGTTATTTAACAAATGGAAAGTTGATACTAAATGCATTTTAATATATTATGATTATTACATACATCAATAAATAAGCGATTTAGTCAATTTATTAATGCGTATTTATGTACATAAGTTACATTTTATCTTTTAGCATTATTAATAGTTATACCAGATTAAAGTTTAATAATCTGTAATGTTGTTGTTTGAAAATTAAATTGACAAATAAATATTTATTAAAATGCTTTTACCTGCGGCTTCGCTTGCGAACCTGCGATACTATTTTTTCACTATGTGTACCAGAATAGATAGAGGAAGTGTCGAAGGCTTTTTTGTGCTCCATCAATAAGTATTTACAAATTAAGAGAGTGCAATCACTGCGCAATCAGTTGAAGAAGATTTGCCTTGTCTAAAGCTACATTGTGAAGAGGATAGTATTAACGTAAACTATTACACTAAAGTTTAAGTGTTTCTCATTGGAGTAAAATTTACTACGTAATAAGTACATATTACTTCTATGGTGTTTGTCAAGTATTTATGAAATTATTGTTAGTACGGAAGTTAGTCTATAGTCACCGACGTAAACGTTTTCAAGAACGCGATTACATCATCATCATCATCATCATTACAGCCTTTCACAAGTCCACTGCTGAACATAGGCTCAGTATTCGAAAGTCTACTTATTTTAAATTATATAGTGTGTTACATACTTTTCTATTCAGTTTATTCGTTTCTTTTCAATTTTATTTAAGTAATTACTACTTTTATTATATTTATCTATATATCTTCTATACTATAATAAAACTCTACGACGTCTGTCTGAACACGCATCACGCAAAAACACGTGAACCGATTTGGATGGTACTTTCAATGGTAGATATGTAATTATAGTTGATGTTATAAGGAGTAAGATAGGCTACTTTTAGGAAAAGAATTAGGGTCCCGCGCATAAAAATTTAAAGCCCATGAAATCCAATCGCAATAAATTCCACGTAGGCGAAGTCGTGGAGAACAGCTAATTTATTATAATTATGTATGTGATAGTGTATACGTGTGTATGGTTTAAATATATTATGTGTGCACATTGACTTAAGATTGTATAATAATGAATATTGTTAAGTTTAGTTTTTGTTAAATTTTTATAGGCACCCACGGAAGATAAGCGCCGTAGTACTTTGTCAGTACCAAGACTATGCTTAATTGGGTATCTTTTTAGTTACCATTTATCAAATTTATAATATGTTATTATTGTAAGCAAATTGCTAAAATGTGATACTAAATAAACTAATTTTTTTCTTCTTTTTTCTTTCTTTATTTCCCCAAGAAATATCACACAGCACGGTCCTGAGCCACCTGCATCAATCGACTTCCTGCATGTCTTACCAGACTGTCACTCCATCTAGTTGGGGCCGCCCCACACTTCGACTACCGATACGAGGCTGCCACTCGAGAAACCTTTCTTTCCCATCGGTTATCGGTTCTTCGAGCTGTATGGCCGGCCCATTGCTACTTCAGTTTACTAATCCGTTGGGCTATATCGGTTACCCTGGTTCTACTGTGGATATCCTCATTTCTAAGCTTATCACCCAGAGAAACCTCGAGCATAATCCTGTCCATTCCTCATACGGTCAGCGGTGAAGAACCACGTCTCAGATTCATAAGTCATGACTGGCAATATAAAAACATAATAACATATCAATATCAAAACATAATAACTGTATGTAGTGGCGGTGTAAGAATATTCACTACCCCACAGAAGCTATGAGGACGAGACAGGCGTGTCCGAGTTATGAGCAGACGCTCTTTTGTGATGTTTTTTGCACAACACTATATCATTTTGTGAGTGTCGTAAGAGGCGTTCTAAGGTATCGTAAGACTCCGCGGTTGCCATTCCGCCTGCCAAGCGTGGCACCGACGGCAAATATCCACTTTAAGAGGAAATATATGGGGATGCCTATGTTCAACAGCGGACTTTCATTTGCTAATACATGAGCCTTCCGTAGACACAGCTGCCTCACTCCACTGGCGACGTTTAGGTGACCTCTTTGGAGAAACCGAGTGTTTTGTCTGTGCGATACAGGATCAGGTTATTAAGACCAACAACTATCGGAGATACATCCTAAATGATGGCGCTGTCGACGTCTGTCGAGTTTGTCGCCCTCCCGGTGAGTCACTTAGGCATGTCATCTACGGTTGTTTGACTCTTTCTAACTCTGAGTACTTGCACATACACAATCTAGTAGCCATGATTCTACACCAGGAGCTCACTCTGAAATACGAAATAGGCATTAACAGATAAGTTTGTGCTAAGATTGGCGAATGCCGAGGAAAAAGAAAAGTTTTTTAGTGAAAATATCGATAGCATGACATTCAGCAAAGTGTTGGAATTAGCATCTGTTCTAATTCTTGCTTGCCATGCCGTTGCAATGTTTAGGATCGCATTATGCACAGTCAAGGGTCGTTTACTGTCAGGGTCTTCCATTTCTTTAAGATAGCGATGCATCAGTTGTGTTCTGTAACTTTGTTTAAGGAATTTTATAATGCCCTGATCCATCGGTTGCAACTTGCTTGTTGCATTCGGAGGTAAGAAAACAAGCGTAATGTTCTTTAGTTCAACATCTTTAGGGTGAACGGGGCAGTTCTCAATGAAGAGAACTATGCGTCTACTTTTATTTTGGAAGTGATCATCTAAAGCTTTTAACCAGTTAATAAAACGATGGACAGTTATCCAAGATCGAGACTGTGCATCATATGTTACAGGGAGCGATTTCACGTTTTTGAAGCAACGTGGATTTTTCGCCTTACTAATAACTAGCAAACGTAACTTTTCCAACCCATCAGAATTTGCACAGACCAGGACAGTGAGTCTCTCTTTACTTGCTTTGCCACCATGGTAAGTTTCTCCCTTGAAGACATACGATTTATCTGGCATTGATTTATAAAATAAACCGAATTCGTCTGCGTTAAAAATGTTTCACGGTTCATAATTTTTTTAAATGCAGGAAGTTGTGCTATCCATGTATCAACATCTTCTTCTGCCACTATCTCCGATTCCCCATTGATTTGACGATACACAATGCCGTGACGGTTTTTTAAACGATCTATCCAACCATTTGGAGCGGTAAAATCTGTAATTTGCAAACTTTCACCAATTTTACGCGCTTTTTCGCATAATATGGGGCCACTTATGGGCAGTTTTAAAGCACGTGATTGATGAAGCCATTCCACTAAAACTTTCTCTAATTGATCAAACTTTCCTACCTTTTGCTTTTTTCTTTTCCCACCTCCCAATCTGTATTTTTCGTTAATTTCTTGTCTATTATTTAAAATTGTACGTAACGTTGAAACTGGTAAGTGAAGCTCTGCAGCTAACTCTGTTTGATTTTTAATTTGAGATTTTTCATCAACAATTTTCAATATCTTCACTTTATCTTCAAGTGACAATGCTTTTCGCTTAATTGTAATCATTTTTAACAAACGCAGATACAGTACGTATGTAAGTAAAACAAATGATAGAAAATGAATGGCGCGCGACAAATCACTTCAACTTAGTTAACTGCGTTAGTGCGCGGTTTACACGCGGGGGAGGGATCGGCAAGGTAGTAAGTGAGCGCGCTCGGCAAATCGGCTCGGCTCGGGTGTTACACAGATGGCGTAAAGCAGAAGGTTTCAATTGGTGAACGCCCACTGGAGGGATCGCACATTTTGGAGAGAAGCAGCGCCTGTGGATCTAATGGAAGCGTCAGTAGCCTAATGGCAGGGCGCGGACCGCGAACTCGAAAGGTCATGGGTTCGAATCCGCCATTCGACTACTGTCGTGAACCTCTTCTAACACAAGCATTTTAAGCTTACCAGAAGTGGTTAAAGGGAATATTAGTAATGTTTAATAGCATTACTAGTATTTTTTAAAAAAAATGTCCGATTAAATCGGTGAAATCAGGTTACATCTACACACTTTCACACACTACTTACATACACCTTACTTACCACCTGACTTCGCCTTGTGGTCGACACTATCTCCGGAACTCGGTAAGTTTGTGCTTGCTTATCAGCTATTAGTTAATTATCCATAGGCCATTTAGGCCCGAACCCTCTGTTGCTCGTCGAGTGTATTACTGATGAGCCCTAATACAGTCGACTTCTGTCGGGCAATTGAGGGCCGTAACACTATGTCTATAGTCATATTCATACAAATCGAAGAGCCTATATATGAGATAATGTAAAGTAAGCATAATTTTACCGGGATCATAACTTGTCCAAAAATTAGGAAAATGAGCGGTTTTCGTTGCGTACGTGTTTTCATTTTTAATTTAACACTATTAGGTTTAAAACTGTGTGGTAATATTTGAAATATACTTTCCTCCAGTTATGAAGAATTTGTTAGATGACAATATTTGTAGTTAAGACTACTAGAAATTTTATTTACGATGTAAAAAGGTGAAAAGGCTGGAATTAGGGGCTTGGCTGGTATTAGGTGCATCCATCTACATCAATATACAGTTTCATATTAAAAGACCTTCTACACGTTCGGGACCAACCACCAACCGTCGTGATCTTGGTCGAGTTGATGTAAAAATGTACAGTGTAGACATCAGTTGTCTGACCAATATTTTGGTTGATGTCCGACGGCTTTATTATGATTGATTATTGATAGATCGCATCACTCACGACACGTTGGGTCCGTGGTTAACGCCGACCGTGTGGAAAGCTGTCGGCCGTAATGCGCATATAGCGCATAGCGTCATATTATAGCGCGTTATCTTTCCATAGCGCACAGCGTGTGCTATGTAAGTAGGCGCTATGAAACAGAAACAGAAACAGAAACAGAAACTTTTTTATTCAATATAGATTATAAATAATACTTATTGAAAGTCACTCTTTTGTTTGATTACCACTGGTTCGGAAAAAACCTCTGTCCTGGGAAGAACCAGCAAGAAACCCAGCGGGACTTTTTTTAAATAACAGCTTACAATCATGATATTACACAAATTAACAACACAACAAATTAGAAATAGTTTGGTAGCGATCACCTCATTTCCAGGGGTTATTATTATCCATAAATTCCTTAATATTATAATAACCCTTTTTATACAAACTTAGTTTAAAAAATTTTTGAACTTTGAGCAGGTCAAACTTTGTAAATTTTCTGGAATTTCGTTGTAAAAGCGTATACATCGCCCCAAGAATGAATTACTGACTCGATGGAGTCGAGTAACTGGTACTACTAGCTTGTGTCTGTTCCTAGTATTTACAGAATGAATATCACTTATTTTTGTAAAACTACTTTTATTTTTGTGCACTTTTTTTTATAGGATAAGAGTGACAAACGAGCACACAGTCCACCTGATGGTAAGTGGTTGCTGCGGCCCATAGACATCTACATCTATCCTCTGTTACAAATCAAAATGTAGATGCGTTGTCACCCGTAAGGACTAAGATGGAATGCCTTATTTCCAGTAAAAAGGGCCTCCGGCCACCTGCACTCACCAAGCGAAACGCAGAGGTAAACCTCTACTTCACGCTGGTTTTCTGTGAGGTCGTAGTACTACCCCGGTTCGAGCCGGCCCATCCGTACGACAGCAAAAGCTGCCGCGTGGCTCTACCATCTGTTAAACGTACATTACATTTTCATAAATGTATTGAGAGGCCAAAGTTAATATATTAATTTCCTTAAATTTTTGTCGCAGCGACTCTTTATGATTTAAATCATAAATTGCTCTTATGGCCCTCCTCTGTAAAACAAATATAATTTCAGTGTCAGCTGCGTGTCCCCATAGCAAAATACCATACGACATGGTGCTATGAAACATGAATATCGCGCAATAGCGCTCGGCGTCGGCCAGCGCGGCAACTATTCTATGCTATTGATTTATAGCCGTTTTGAACAATTCTAGTTAAAATGTTTGCGTGGCCTGCCAGTCTGCTACACTTGCGTAACGCAAGTGCACGTTATATTACATTTTGTTCGTTACAAACATACTGCGTGCTATATAAGAATATAATTTATTAATACGTAAATCAGTAAAGAAAAATCAATGAACTCTCCTTCATACTTTTCAGACATAATTGATTTAAACGTTATTTTAATATTAATGTTAATTATAAATCAATTATAGGCGTTTTTAAAAGTAAATTGATTGTATATACAAAAATCAATTCTTTACACATAATATAATCATAAATCTTAATTACATTCACGTAATCGTGTCAAATTAGAATTGTTTTTAAACAATCTTTTATTTTAATATTTAAATGTCAAAAACTAAAGAATCACAGATACTTAATAGCGTCTTTTAATTTGTTTTCAAACAGTCTCCTAATCTATTATTAATATACAGTATGCACTAAATAACCAATGTCTAACACTAAACTAGGTTACGCGCGATGAATAGCGTGCTGGTAGATAAAATTTGTGTAACACGTCCGCTCACAACACGCGAGACTAGCAGGCAGCCGGGCGCTTGTGCCGCTGCTAGAAATAGTTTCCGCGTTGACCTACGCCGAGCGCTATCGCGCGATATTCATATTTCATAGCGCAATAGTGCCACAGCGACCACTTACATAGCACGCGTTGTGCGGTATGGAAAGATATCGTGATAAAATGTGTTATATAACGTGACACAAATGTTATATAACTGGAGAGTATTTTTCTCTAGTCAATAAACTAGGACGAACCCAGTATCTATGTTTTTTTTCTTTTCTTATATAAAAGTACAAGAGTTGCTGCAGCAGCTAGCAAAACGTCCTGTTGTGTCGACATTGTGAATAGCACTGCAGAACGACAATCGACAATGTCGTATAACATTGTTATGATGCATTGTTATTCTAATGTGTATTGTATTGTTATATATCGCAAAGTTGAAAAACAATGTAACATAATGTGGACTGTTATAAAACAAACGTTACAAAACATGTAACTTAATCTGTACGCACCCTAATCCCTAAGACTAAACTAGGACACGCGCGATGAATAGCGTGCTGTTAGATAAAATTTGCGTAACACGTCCACTCAAAACAGCGTACACGCGAGACTAGCAGCCGGGCGCCGGGCGCTAGCGCTGCTGCTAGAATAGTTGCCGCGCTGGCCGACGCCAAGCGCTATTGCGCGATATTCATATTTCATAGCACCATAGCGCCTACTTACATAGCACACGCTCTGTGCTATGGAAAGATAACGCGCTATAATATGACGCTATGCGCTATATTAATCACCATTACGGCCGACAGCTTTCACCACGGTCGGCGTCAACCACGGACCCAACGTGTCGTGAGTGATGCGATCTATCAATAATCAATCATAATAAAGCCGTCGGACATCAACCAAAATATTGGTCAGACAACTGATGTCTACACTGTACATTTTTACATCAACTCGACCAAGGTCACAACGTTTGGTGGTTGGTCCCGAACGTGTAGAAGGTCTTTTAATATGAAACTATATTGATGTAGATGGATGCACCTAATACCAACCAAGCCCCTAATTCCAGCCTTTTCACCTTTTTACATCGTAAATAAGATTTCTACTAGTCTTAACTACAAATTTTGTCATCTAACAAAACTTCATAACTAGACAAAAGTATATTTCAAATATTACCACACAGTTTTAAACCTAATATATATATATATATAACCAATATTTAAATAGAATCGGTTTCTTGAAGTGAAATAAGTGTACACAAATTCAAATAATCAACAAAAATAATGAAGGTACTTTGCCAGCTAATAAACGGACTTTAAACCAAGAAGTACCCGAAGTCATCGACCTTGCAATTTACCTAACAACTACTTGCTTACTTTCGCCACTGTAAGTGAATAGCTTACAGCGTTGTGGCTGGTATCGGACTGCTCATTGTACATTCTTGTAGCTGCGAGTTCCAACCTAGGGGATGCCTGTTGAATTTGTCTTTTTCGTTTTTTCGTTTCGTTTGAGGAATTCTTCAAAATGGCGACCACATGCGATGGTTGTTTACAAAAACTTCCAAAGAGAGAATATTTAACCTGCTCACTTTGTAAATCAAGCTATGATTTGGATTGCGCAAATGTTCCTATTGTGCGATTTAATAACACGATGAGCGCTGAACACAAACAAAATTGGAAATGCCAGGCTTGTCGTTGTAAAATGCCCAAAACTGGAAATACAAACACACCAGTTCGCACCCAAAATGGCCTTCAAGCACAACAATCACCAACAACTGAGGCTAATGTGACGATGAGAATGAAGCAAACAACAAGCTCGTATGATACAACCACGGTCTATGATGATGATGAAAGTATTTTGGGGGATTCGTGTACGGAGAACATCTTGAAAAATTACAACTGTCAAATTGACTCACTACTGCTTACCCAAATAGAAGAACTTTTAGAAAAAAAAAACTGGAAAACAATAAGAATACACTATTATCAGAATTAAAAACTATGTTATTACAAGAAATTTCAACTACAGTAACAAATGAAATATCACTACATAT